TAGAAAAAGAAACAGAAGAACTGTTCGCAGTTTGCAGCAAGAACTGTTCGCAGTTCACACAACTCTCTGTCCCTTTTTTTGATCAAAAAGAGCCCAAGAATGGGATAGGCAGAGCTGGGCCAGGCACGGCCAGGAGACCAAAAATGACCTTGCCAAGGCAATCACGCAGAGCAACATCACAACTGTCCAGGTGAATCTGGCGAAAACAGCGAAAATGGCCAGGAAAAACAGCAAAACTCAAAACAAAACAAGCAGTTTCTTTGGAGCTTGGGGCGCTGGCAGCAGATGGCCATGCCAACAAAGACGTGTAAAGGGCTCCTGAACGTTCCTGTCACACATGAACCGGAACGTTCTTGCTCCTAGCGATGTCCTTTGTTCCTAGTAGCTTCTTGTTCCTAGTAGTAAGGCACTTGTTACTAGAAGCGATGCACTTGTTACTAGAAGCGAACATTGTTACTACGTTCGTAAGGCACTTGTTCCATGCTTTTCTTCAAGCCATGCTGGGCCCTTGGAGACGAACCTGAACACACTTGTCGAGAAGCTATATTTCTGTTCAGGTGTTGGAGGTGTTGGAGGTGTTGGAGGTGTTGGAGGTGAGTCCTCCGTGCAATTGACAGAAACCATTCAATTAAAACATCTCACATACTTGATAATCTTGATCGATCTTGATAGTCTGTAGAGTACGCTTCTAGGTTGGAGGCCATCGCTAGTAGGTTGGAGGTCGTCTCACATACTTGATAGTCTCTACACTCTACGCTATTTAGCCACTCACTGACTCACTGGTACTGTTTGATGTCTCGCCTCCTGCACGTGTTCGGGGGTGGCCGGATCCCAGCCAAAGAGCTTCCAGACCTCGGAACGCCCAAAAGCACCTTTTCGGATGCGTCGGATCACGACCAGTAACAAGTGCCTTACGACCAGTAACAAGGACGCTACTAAGGGCTCCTGGCATCGCTACCAGGAGCAAGGACGCTACTAGGGGCACAGGGCATTACTACTAGTGAACACTTGTTCCTAGTGGCGATGGCCCTAGCAGCGTCCTTGTTGCTAGTAGTAATGCGCTTGCTAGTTTCGGATGTGGACCGCAAAACGCTTCGAAGCGATGTCAACTTCACAGATGTTTGCGGAGCGCACGAAGCACGGATTTTCCCCTTATCTGCCGATAGCCTTGAAAGCTTCCTCTGGCACTGGCCCATCACCAGTCACCACAATGTCAAACTTCTGCTGAAACCTAGCAAGAGATATTGCTCTTGAGCACACAAAACAATCCTTTTGGCTAAATTAGGCAAGGTGCTCGGGCATGCGTTGTTCCACCTTCTCGTTGAGAAAGCCGACCTGCCAAACAATGGAACTCCATATAAACCTGCCACCAAAAGGAACGGGAATGATATTTAAGTGTCTTTTCGCTGTGACCTCTTGTATCCTCTGATCGTTTATCAGGCACTTGTCGTCAAGCGGGTCCTCTTGTATCTCTGTCGCATCTGGTCACGTCCATCGTCCATCTTCGTCCATCAGGTCCCAAATCGACTCGACATAACTCTCATCCCAGTGACTTCCTTGCTCCGTTCGTAGCGATGCCCTTTGTTCCGTTCGTAGCTTCTTGTTCCTAGTAGTAGGGCCAGGAGCCCCTAGTAGCGTCCTTGCTCCAAGTGACTTTTAACGTCTCCACATCAAGGCCATCTGCCATGGTAGCATCGCCAACTCCGTCGCCCATCAGTAGGCACAGCTGCTTCCCCTCTGTGAGCTTCTTCGTCACCTCCGCTCAATACTGCTTGCACACGCCTTCGCTTCCAAAGCCAAACAAAAAACCTTCAAGTGAGGAAGAAAAGAATGAAGGAACCCTCGAAAAGTGAAAGAACTGCCATTTACACAAATGACTCGGAGGACGCGTGTGTCAAACACTGAAAACAGTCTCCATCGATTTCTGTCTGACGGTTCTTATAAATACATATAATTACATATAGACAATAAATGTGTATATTACATTTCTGACGGTATTATATATATGATCAGCTATATAAATGTGTATATAACTACATATAGAAATAGCCTCCCCCTCATAGCGATGGCCGACCTAGAAGCGGCCTTCAAACAAAAGCATCGTCTCCTTCCCCGGTGTGATCGAAACACGATGCACCTCAGGGAAGAAGGCTGCGGTCTTGTTGAACCTCATATCGATGCACCGATGCCGCTGGAGACGGAGTCAATCCAAGATGGAGACGGTTTAGAAAATTGACAGTTGCAAACATATTCTACGGCATTATGCTTTACTGCTTTACTGTTGATTCATTCTTGGTGTACTTCAAGTCCATGAAAGGAAAGCTGCAGACATGGAACATATGAAGCAACGGCTCAGAGAAGTTCACCAAACGGCCAGTCTCATCGAAGACCATCCTCGAAAGCAATGGAACGACCGGCACGTGGACGTCATGGGACGTCGGGGAAACATCTCAGCCCGCTCGCTCTTCCCACCCTCTCCCTATTTTAATTAAGGAGACTACTTGTTTCTAATAGCTTCTTGTTACTACTAGTAAGGCACTTGTTACTAGAAGCGATGCACTTGTTACTAATAGCTTCTTGTTACCAATAGCTTCTTACTTAAGGAGACTACCGACACTTCATTAAGGAATTGAGGTAGCTACTAGCTGCAAGTACTACCGACAGGACGCAGGATAGTTCGCGCTTCTGCAAGGAAGCTCCGGCTTGTTACTAGTAGCGATGCCCTTGCTACTAGTAGCTTCTAGCTACTATCTCAGCTTTGGTCCAAAGCTCAATATGTCGTGGAGTCCCTCAAAACCTAGCTGGCCAAAAGGTTGCAAAGCTGCTCTCCCCTGGCATGTTGAACGTCAGATCAGACAATTTTGCTCGCGACCGACGAAGACTGAAGTTCGACTGAAGAACACCCAAACCCCACTGGCCTGTTGGACACCACATGGGTGCTCTCCTGCAGTGGAAAAGGAAGCGCTTGTCGTAGGAACTCCTCAATGACATCACCCAAACCAGCAGACATGATAATCCTTGGTCACGTCTGATCGGGCGTTCGATCATTCTGATCTGATCGGGCTAGCGGCTACAGAATCTCATTCAATAATCCTTGGTGTATCCAAACGGTTCCACAAACAATAAGCTACCAGGAACAAGTGCATCGCTTCTAGGAGCAAGGGCCTTACTAGTAGTAACAAGAAGCTATTAGAAACAATAAATATAAACTTCTTGTTACTACTAGTAAGGCACTTGTTACTAGAAGCGATGCACTTGTTACTAATAGCGAACATTGTTACTACCGTGAGGAAATGGATGTGACTTCCGAGTCCCTCGACTGCCACGAAGGATCCTACGTTCGCTTTGCCAAAGTTCGATACGCATTTAAGTCGATAAGCTCTGACAGTCAAAATGGACAGGGTTCTGTACCCTTACCCTTCTGAGTTCTTCTGTTGCAAACCCATTTAGAAAGCCAGACCTTAGGTGTATTCTCAGGCCTTCCATTCGGCCATGAGCAGAGGTATGTTTAAGCGCTCTTAGTAGGTGAATGTGCCCCTAGTAGCGTCCTTGCTCCTAGCAGTAAGGCCAGGAGCCCCTAGTAGCGTTAGTAGCGATGCCAGGAGCCCCTAGTAGCGTCCTTGGTGAATGTATCTGTCTAAAATCTGTCGTTCCACGCAGCGAATGCTGACGACTTTTCTTGGAAAGCTTGAATGGGCATCGTGTATCATCCTATTGCATGTCTGTCCATTCTTTTGGGGCTTTGTTTTGTTCTAAGGCTCACGGGTATCACCGGATCGTGTGTCTGACAGGCTCTCAAGAAGTCCACCATGCCATCTCGCACTTGGATAGTCTTGCAGCTTGAGACTGCGCTGGCGATGTTGTCTTTGGTCACCTACGATGGTGCTCTTCTCCCCGAGATCGAAAAAGACAGGGATGAAACACTGATTATCAGAAATGTTGTATGTATCTCCGACATGTGCGCTGTGCAACATCCTGTTTGTAAATCAGGGACAAATCACATGCCAGGCACATATTCCTTCAGGATCAGCTCGTGTACTTGGCCATACCACTCGTGCATAATTGGCACCTGGCGTGCAAAAGGAGTTGGAGATGGAGGCCATCGCTAGTAGGGTGGAGGCCATCGCTCTTAGGGTGGAGTGGAGGCCATCGCTTCTAAGTTTCTGCAAAAATCTTCTAAAGCATTTTGCTTCGGTATTTTCCACTCGTGTCCCACTGTTCAGGGAGAGTCCATGGAGACCAAAATCGACTGAGCCAAGCTTGTTTGCCTTCGTCTCGATTGGCCTCAGAGGTCTCAACGTATCAAAAATCAAAGAAAACAAAGATTAAAGGTAAAAAGTGTCGAATACTTTCAAGCAGCTGTGTGCTTCAAGAGTGCTTAGATTCAGGCATGGCTTCATCAATTTCGATTGGATAGTACTTTCCTTAGGGGTCAACTGGGAGGCTTTCCTCCTTTGATCACCAAAAGATCTTGGATGTTCTGCAAAGGACTAAGGACTTTGAGCAAAGCTACTGAAGAGCTCTTGAGCTCGGGATTTGAAGGCTTCCGACAAAACGCTGGCCACTTCAAGAATGCCATGAGCGGAAGTGACCCGCTGCCCGTCAGGCATGAAGTTGCCTCACGTTGTTGACGCCAAGAAGCTCGGGCGCTAAAGGATAAACCCAATAGCGATCAACCTAATTCCGATGGCCTCCAACCTAGAAGGATAGAAATAATGCTAAAAAGGTCTCCCCATATTCTGAGACACTAACTGGTCAGCGTCCTGTCAAAGTCGAGAATAACCTTGGACAGGTATTGCAAGAACTGTTGTTGATCGAGAAACACTGAAGATCGCACACATATCACATCTGTGACATGTCAAAAGGTGCTGACTTGAAACCAACTCCTCACTAGTTCAACAAACAAAATACAACAAAGAAAAAAAACAGCTGGACTTGTCACACACTTAAACGTTCTGCCTGCAACAATGTGCCAGCAAAGCCCGTCGCAGTCCCCTTTTAGCCGACGCCCCTCCTGCTTTGTCCACGCACTTCGGGGCTTGCGCCCTTCGGCAAGCGACCAGAATAGAGATTCTCCACGATGAGCAGTCGAAGTGAAGCTTCAAGGCAGGAGCACATCACGAGCATTTACACTCGTGAATACTAATGTGGGTACTAATGAGCTTTGACTTGGCAAGGAAAATGCGAGCGCGCCACTGACTGTCCTTGATCGAATAACGTTTGCCACTACCACTCCACTCCATCTCAGCGAACTGAATACTGTGTCCATCGGAAGAAATAGTTTGGGGATATGTTGGAAAGGACATGTGGCAGGGCACTCTCAAGTCTCACCCTAAATGGAACAGTGGCTCTTTGACCTGTGCAAGCAATGGCCCCTCATAATCGGCTACTGTATTGCAATACAGTGCCTTGAAACCGAATTCATCGGAGCCTTCAAAAGTCAAGAACAACTTTGCTACAATGGTGCAAGGAACTTTCCGGAAAGTGCCTGGCCTGCACTATCCACATCATCATACATCACTCACATCTCGCGATGCACATCTTTTTTGCGGCCAACAAACATTCCCTGAATGATCTTTCCTTCACGAGCAAGTTTGGCCATAAACTCAAAATCGGAGATCAACTTGTCATAAGCTTCATCATCCCAACCCAGCAACTTCTTCGTATCGTACACTGCTTGCAACTTCAGCATGTGCACATAGCTGTCCATGGCAGGTGAGAAGCGGCCACTGTTCTCAGCAACTTCAACCTCAAAGTGTGCCTTCTCCAGCATCTGCGCATACTCCTTCACCGTCGGGATGGCAGGGAATGTCATAAGGCTCAAGAATCTCTGCGCTTCCGGATTGGAGAGTCCCTCACCCTCGATCCAGTCCGTAAACATGACTTTTCCTCCGGGCTTCACGATGCGAGCAGCTTGATCAATGATGAGCTGTTTGTCAGGCATGTAGCACCAAGCATCCTTGCTGTACACAAAATCGGCGGAAGCATCCTAGGTGAAGCTGCAGTGCTCAATCTTTGCATCTACAAACCAGAACACGAGAGATCCGGCTTTGTGAAACTGTGTAGAAATATGAGGCAGTCTGAGGCAGTGTGTATGCCATCACCAACCCATGTAATGGCAAAGATTGTAAGTAGATGTATCTAGTACTATGGAGTTGTTGGCTAAGAAAGCCGCAAAGCTACAATGCTTGAAGGTCACACAGTACAACACAAGCCAAGAATCAGGGAGTCCATTCTCCAAGGAGTTCTTGTTGATGAACTTGATCTTGTCACTCAGCCCCTCTTCCTCTGTCCTCTTCTTGCCAGTCTCTACCACTGACTTAGTCAGATCCACTCCAATCATGGAGTCGACTCCAGCCAAGCGAACAAGGGTGCGCATTCCTCCACCATTGTTGCAATTCAGCTCAACTCCATTCATCCCTGGTCCGACACCAGCCTTCTTAGCCAGCTCCAAGGTGGAAGATGCAGCACCGATGTCAATCTGTTTTCCCATAACCAGCTCCCACACGCTCTGTTCTGGACCACTGTAGCATCGAGCGACTGCGTCCGCATCCGCAGCATCTTGGTCATCCAGGGTCTTCAAGGCATGGGAACTGCACCACAGTGACAACAGCGCCGACCAAACGGCAATCTGCACAAACACCATGGCGAAGACGGGAACAGATGCGTCAAAGCGCCACAGCACGAGATAGAGGCAAAGCAAGCTTTTT